TTCTAGCACTTGCCTGACCTTCAAAAGGCATGTTTACTTTTTTTTTCCTACTTTTTTTATTTTTTTAAACCTATAAATAGGACCAAAAAAACTATTCTTTCAAGAATTAAGAATTTTCTCATTTTATACAATGTGGGTATTCTAAGTGATAGCCATAAATATTTTATTGGTGGCTGAATAATAGAATACGTTTTCTCTTTATAGGAAGCATCTGGTGGGATAGACTTTTGTTTGAATGAATGTTTTATGTGCTGTTGACTTAAAACATTTAAAAGGAGGTTTTAATGAACCTACCAATAGTTTCTTTTGCTATTCTTGTTAGTCAGAAAATTGAATCCTTAAGTGTTAGCCAGCCGGCCGAGGGCAGACAGCTTGGAAACACTTTAAATGTAGAATGTGCTGATTATTTCTGCTTATCCAGTCCTAAAACTGTGCATTAAAAAGAGTATATGCCACTAAGATTATTTTTAAAATACTGAAAAAAACCTTTGATAACCATGTAAATATTAGGAGATGTCGTAACATCCAGGTATAGCTAATTACATTTTGCTGCATTTCATATTGATTGGTTATCTTTTTATTAATTTCACTGAGATTTAATTTACACAAAAGTACTGATTTTAAGTGTTGGGTGCTTTCTAATGATTGGTGTTGTAATCAGGATATGTATGTATATCGATTTTTTGGTATGTATGTGGAGTACCTTTGTAGGTTCATTTAACTATCACTAATACAAGACTATACAAAAGCTCCATAATACCAAAAATTTCCCTGTGTGGCTTCTTTGTGGTCAACTCTCTTAGCCCTAAACCTTTGACAACTAATGTTGTTTTCTCTGTCCTTGTAATGTGACTTTTCCCAGAGTGTCATAAATGGAATCATATGGTATGTGGTATTTTGAGGACTGGCTTCTTTCTGTTGGTATAATGTCTTTGTAATTTATTCACATTGCATGTGTCAAAGTTTCTGAGCACTGTTTCATATTATTGATGAGTACTGTTTACCCTTTGAAGGGCACTTGAGTTCTTTCTCCCTATTGGCAATTGATAATAAAGCTGTACAGTAGTGAACATTTATATACAGGTTTTGCTAATAGCATAGGTTTCCTTCCTTCCTTCCTTCCTTCCTTCCTTCCTTCCTTCCTTCCTTCCTTCCTTCCTTCCTTCCTTCCTCCCTCCCTCCCTCCTTCCCCCTTTCTCTCTTTCTCTTTCTCTTTCCCTTTCTTTTTTCTTTCTATCTTTCTTTTCTTTCTCTCTCTCTCTCCTTCCTCCCTTCCTCCCTCCCTCTCTCCCTTCTTCCTTCTCTCACTTCTTCCCTCCTTTCTTCCCTCCCTCCCTTCTTCCCTCCCTTTCTTCCTTTTTCTGGGGCTTGAACTCAGGGTCTGGGTGCTGTCCCTGAGATATTTTGCTTAAGGCTGGCACTCTACCACTTGAGCCACAGCTTCACTTCCAGCTTTTTGGTGGTTAATTGGAGATGAGTTTCACTGACTTTCTTGTCTGGGCTCGCTTTGAACCACAATCTTCATAGCTCAGCCTCCTGGATAGCTATAATTACAGTTGTGAGCCATGAGTGTCTGCAAAACAATGTAATTTTGTAGTATACCTATGGTGTAATCTAACTTTTCAGCAAAATGTGAGGTTTAGGTTGAGGTTTATTTTGGTAACATGATGTCCAATTGTTTCAACATTGTTTGCTGAAAATGAACACGATCCTTTCTACATTGAATTGTCTTTGTAGTTGGTCATATCTGTATGGGTCTGTGCCACTATTTCGTTTTCTGTTGCATTGTATTCTCTCAAAGTTGTTTTGATTCATCTTGTTCTTTACTGCCCCAAATAAGTTTTATAATTAGCTTGTCTGTGTTAAAAAAAAAGCTGCCGGAATTGATTGAAATGTTATTAAATCTATATAAAAATTTCAAGAGAATTGACATCATTATTATATTGACTCACCCAATCTATGAATTTATTAGAAGTCTTTTCACTTATGTCTGTCTTGAATTTCACAAACATTTTGTGGTTTTAAGAGTATAGTTTATGTTTTATTAGATTTATACTTAAGGGTTTTAGGTTTTAGAGCTGTTGTAATGTAAATGAGAGACTCTGTTGGTTGATAGTACCATAAGCCACCTCATTCATGGACTTACTATGTGTGGCTTAGATTCCTGAGTCTGCATCAGGCAGCTCACTTGTCAGGCAGAAGCCCTCAGTCTCACTTTAGTCATGTGGATTTAAATCATTGTGAGAGCAGTTGAGTGTTTGTCTGTCTCTTAGTTTTTGAAACTCTTACCTTCCAAAAAAAAGCATGGTACCCCAAAAACAAAGTAAAATTTAAAGTGCTTAATTTAAATGATAACTGAGACTCAGAGAGGAAGGAATCTTGAGAGAATGAAGGTTGAATTGATATTGTCTCTTAAGCCCCTGGTCTTCACTGGGGTCTGAGCATGAGTAATGACTGTGAATGGAAGGGGAACATAGATGTGTGACCTTTAGAGAGGGGCTTCAATTGCTATTACTTCTAGTTTTTTTTTTAATTGAGCAAGTTATATGATACACACTTCAAAAGATATAAAGGGTATATAGCATATTTCCAGATGATGTGTGCCATTTAATCCAGAAAGTGTGTACTCATAGTCCCTGCCCCCTTTTGAATTTACAACACATTTTATCATAGCCACCATCTGTGCAATAGACCACTAAAATTTATTCCTCCTAACTGAAACTTTTAACCCTGTCTAGTATCTCTCCTTTCCCTCTCTCACCTACCTTTTATTTAAATGGTAACCTGATGAATATGATGTTCTAAGCGATAGTGTTTTTATTTGACATTACATCTTGGAGATAATTTCAGTGAGTCCACAAAGTAGTCTTATTCATTTTTTTTTTTTGTGGTACTGTAATACTCCACTGAGCAGTTCTACCATAACCTACTTAGCCATGACTAGTTGGCTTTCAACAATTGCAGTTAACTACAGACCTTTAAAATTTGCTAAAGGAAGTGTAACATGCCTATAGACATGCACACCTTTGTGAATAGTTCCATGAATTATTATAAAAAGAAAACAGGCTCATGACCACCACCAATATTGAGAAGAAGCAATGATATCAATACCCCAGAAGCATACTGTATTGCTCCTCCTAAAGCCCATGCCATCCTCTTGGACCAGTTTCCAAACCCTTCCTAGCTTGTGTTTCTGATACCCTCTTACGCAAAGGAGAGGAGTAGGAGTCATTCACAGACAGACTCAAAGCTGAGGGAAGTAGAGAGAGGGAGGATGGGTGGTGATGGTAGGACTTGGGAAACATTTTCTTGTGTAAGCATGGTGTTGTAAAAGTACAAGGAAATTGCTCTAGTGAGTAGGCTCATGTTTGTTCTTGGAGTTGGGTTAGCCTTTTCATTAGTCTGCTAAGAAAAGCTTTCTAGGTGACCTAACCAAAAAAAAAAACAAATATTGGTTGGGGGAGTCAGCAAGGTCGGAGGCTCAGCTCTTCCACGGGTGTATAGCTGGGTTGTTACTTTTGCAGTGTTGAAGTGTTCCCTAAGGATTGAGGTACCTAGAGGTACTCACACCATATATTCTCAGTAAATATGAGTTTTCTTGGTATATTTCCTCTACACTTTTTACTTTGACAAATTTCAAACTTGGGGAAAAAGTGTAAAACAGTACAGATACCTAGATTCACACACACTTTTTTTTTTTTTTTTTGGCTGGGATTTCAACTCCAGGCTTGTGCTTGAACTTCTGTTTGTGCAGCTTGTTTGTTTCTTTAGCACTCTACTAGTTGAGCCATACTCTAGCCCTGCTTTTTTGCTGATCCTTTTAGAGAGGGAGGCTCATAGAGTTTCATGCTCAGACTGGGTTTGATTCTAGATTCCTCAGTCCTCAGTCTCAATCTAATTCAACACTAATTATTCAGATCCTGAATAGGCCTACAAAACTGTTCAATTCCTGAATAATATTACAGGCTTGAGCCACTAGTGTCCAGCTTCTAAATTTCTTTACCTCTTTTTTTTTTCTCTTTCTCCACTCATTAGTGAATCAGTTCCAGACATCACTCTATAGAAGCACCCTTACATACTCAGGAGGACTCTGTCCTCTAAAATCATAATGCTGTAATCTTATATAAAGTTGCGCTTTCCCCACTTAGCATAATGAGGACTTTTAAGATCAATTGCACTTAATAGTCATCTCCTTTAACCTATGCTTATTTAGAAAGGTTCCTTATCCAGTTTTGCCTCAGATTTTCATTAGGATTTTCAGATCTGATGTTTTGCATAAAGTCCTTCTATTCAGCCACTCCTCTTGACTAGATTCAGGTTAATGGTTGCATGGAGCACCCTCGATGGAATTGTTGGCTCAGCAATTCATTTCAGGAGGCTCGTGATATCAGTTTATCCCATCAGTGCTGAGGAGAGATTTACTTGCTTACCCTGGTTGTAAAAGTTCTAAATTGTAAAGTTACCTTTTTGTAATTAATAAGTTGGCTGTGGGAAAGTATTTTGAGAGGGAATATCCTACTCCTCATGATCTTTTGTCTGGTGTTTTTAGTGTTGATAATTCTTACCTGAATCAATTATTTCATGAAATCAATATAGTAGTTTTCTATTCCTGTTATTCTTCTACATTTACTAACTAGGTTTATTTGGTAAAGACAAAGTGTCCTCCCTGTCCCCCTTCCTTCCCCTTCCTCCCTCTCTTCTCCTTCTCCTTCCCCTCTCCCTCCTCTCTTTATCCCATTGATATAGAGGCATTAGTTCTTTCTTTCTTTAGTCATTATTCATTTCTGTCATTCATTTTGATTATTAGATAGTTCTAAATTTGTCCAGCAGGAGCCACCTAATTCTTCTGGGTTGGTATAATTGTACCTGTGGAAGCTTTTTCTAGTGTTACCATTGAATTCATTTCAGAGCCTTGAGCCATGGGGATGAATGCAGGTACCACCCATCAGATCCTCTCCTTTCCCCTTGCTTTAGACAACTCTTCTGTGTTTATTTTCTAGCAAATCACTGAACTGAAGAAAGAAAACTTTAACCTGAAGCTCCGCATCTATTTCCTCGAGGAAAGAATGCAGCAGGAGTTTGATGGTCCCACTGAACAGGTCTACAGAACTGTGAGTGTCTTCTGCTAAGTTGTTCCAAGTAGATAGCTGATAGTTATTCTCAAAATTAGCATGAGGAGATAGATCTGTTTGATTTGGTGGGTGGTGGTGGTGGGGAAGATGCCAAGATGGCCCTCCTTTTAAGCAAAGAGGTGCATGATTAAGTCTTTTATACTTTAACATTGGAATTCTGGTTCACTGTCTAGCTTGGTTGTCCTTTTGTAAGTATTTATTGTAGAGAAATAAGCAGTGGACTGATACAATGACTCTGGAATTGAATCCTATTGTTACCAACTATTTGGGTAACTTTGGGCAAGTGGTTTCAGCTCTCTTGACATGCTGCCAGTGTTGAGTGATGATCCTGATGTCATCAGGTTATTTGTATGACTAAATGGGATGAGAGATGAAAAGCTCTGCACCCTTTGGTGCTTGACAGTTGCCATCATTGCATTGTCTCATTGAGCTGCCTTCGGCTGCCCAAGGTAACTATTGTCAGGTTTCCTGTGATCCGACTCCTCTGTATTCCTGTGTGCTTGCTTGGAACTGCCAGAAAAGAAAAAAAAAAGGCTATTCCGATTTGAAGTCTTGACCTGGAGGTCTTTGTCTGAAAACAAACCTTGGTTCTCAAAGTTGAAAAAAGAACTTGGCTTTCTTGAAAAGACATGAGTACAAACAGTATCTCAGTGCCCATTTCTTCACTTTTTCTGGTAGATTAGCCCTTGGCCTGGGAATTATTCTATCTTTTCTCCTCTGAAGTTTGAACAGTGGAAACTTTTGAAGGAGAAATGTAAAGGGGCTTTTCTTGAAGAGGGATTGCGCTCCCTCCAGCCCTTTCAAGAGCTGAAAAACTTGGCTGTCCCTGAAGGCACAGTGATCTTCCTTCAGTGTGAGGGCGGGGACACAATGTCACCCCATTTCTGGAAGGAAGTGTGGTACACTTTTTCTCTTTTAAGGAAAAAAAAAACAATGTGTAAGCATGGTGGTCTTGCACCTGAGAACTTGGGAAGCCAACTATTGTGGGCTGTGTTGTGTCTACCTTGGGCATTGTTGGGATAGCATCCTATGGGGAGGAAACTGAGGCTGAGGAAGATGAGTGACTTGTTTCATGTCATATAGCTGCTCTATGAAGTAGATTTTGAGGCCTGGCCCAGGCCAGTATATTATTGCCCTATGCCCCATTAGATACTCTATTGTACTATTGAACTAGATAGCCCCTCCCCACTTTTATTTTTCAGTTAAGTTTTTGGATAGAATTTTAAATATAACGTGAATGTATGACAAAGATGTACTTTCACTCTGTTCTTCTGAGTCTGTAAATCTCACCAATATATGGCTTCCATGTGCAGAGGGATGCTAGCAAATGAGAGAGAGAGAGAGAGAGAGAGAGAATGTGTGTGAAACCACTTTATATTTTTCACTTAATGGTATCTTGGATACTTCTCTTTGATAGTAACTTAAGTGCTGCTTTATTCTTTTTTTTTCTGGATAGAGTATTTGTTACATATACATTACATCTATCTATGTATACATAGAGAATATATATAATATTCTATTTGTACAGAAATTTACAATATAATCTGTGACTTCAATTAATGGGATAGAGGTAGGCATACTCCCCACCCTGTATTTTTGCCATCGTACCAGCAAAAGCATGCCACTTCTTCCCTCCC